TGTCTATTTATAGGATGCAAATTGTGGAAACACATTGTTGATTTCTCTTGATGAGCTTGTCAAGGATGGATTGTTATTCAATGATGAGCTCCCACGACCAATGTACAAAATCTCAATTTTCTTTTTTTGGTCTCAATCTCATTTCTCAAGTCTGATATCTTTATGTTATGCAGTGATGCTGATTGTGTCAACTATCAAACCGCGGACAAGTTAAAGAGTCCCTTGATAACTAAGGTACACAATCTGGCCTCTCACTTTTCCTATGTATATTGGCGAAAATAATTCAAATATTGCGATTATGCTTCTCTTTTTATCTGGAGTGGAAGATACTAGTAACATGAAAAAAATGCATTCTAGTCTAGTTCACACAAATTCAACAAGTTACTTTTGTTCGGTGATTATAGCCACTGATCTATTGGCTCTGAGGAGTTAAGTTTGATCACTGGCCTTTTCTTCAGGCAGCAAAGAGGCTTATTGGTGGCGATAGTGAACTGAAGAGCAAACTGCAAGATTTCCGTAACGACCCCTCTATTTCATGTGAGAAATATTACATTTTAAAAGATTGTTTGTTAACAGTTTGCTGGCGTCTAAGGTTGTCATGTTCGCTATGTTTAGGTTGGCTTGAAGATGCAGCCTATTTTGCAGCTATAGACAATACTTTAAATTCATACAGTTGGTTTGAGTGGCCTGAACCACTTAAAAACCGTCATCTTTCAGCTATGGAAGCTATATATGAAAGTCAAAAGGAATTTGTAAGATCTTGGTGCCTTTATCTAACTTCTTAGATTTGGTTTCATAATGTTCTGTGAAAGCTTTTGAGAGTAACCTCTTCTTCTTTTCTGCAGATAGACTTGTTCATTGCTAAACAATTTTTGTTCCAAAGGCAGTGGCAGAAAGTTCGTGAGTATGCACAGCGGAAAGGAGTCTATATAATGGGGGATATGCCCATTTATGTTGGATATCACAGTGCAGATGTTTGGGCAAACAAGAAACATTTCTTACTGGCAAGTAAAGTTATAAATATGGAGGCAAACAATCTTATTGCATATATCAACAGTCATTTAGACTTTCTTGAAGGCCA